AAGAGGCGGATGGTGAAGCGGGAGGAGTAGAAGCATGTTCTGGTCCCGAGGCCCGGTCTTGCGTGTCCTTCACACACCCCAGGTTTGTGGTCCGGGAGTAAGTTCTCCCATGTGTCCTCTCCCCTCACCATCCCCGCGGGTACGAATTCTTCTGGAAGATCTGCCCAGCCAGGTGGCTGAGCCCTGCCCTCGAGCTTCACTTAGAGAATGGATCAGGCTTCACAGTCCTGAGACCTCTGACTCTCACCGCGGGACAGTCATCTGGTCACCCTCCTGTGGCTGATGCCCGTGCCAGAGCTCCTCAGCCAAAAACACAGAAGCAGCAGGAAGAGACGGATGATAGGACGTTGGGAAGGACAGAGGCAGGGTAGCCGGGGCGGTCTCAGCACTGCGGACTTGGGAGCGATCTCCCCGTGTGCCTGCCAGGCCCCAACACCCGTCCTCCCTGTGGGGCCCCTCAACATCCAGCTTCCCAGGAGAGAGAGAGAGAGAGAGTCTGGTGGGCGTGGCTGAGGCCTGTGCCTGGAATGTGGGTGCTGATGACAGGACTGCCAGCCTGCCAGCCTCCCACGGAACAGGAGAGGGACGACTCCTCAAAAGAGGTGATGCCCAGCCCAGACACAACAGGTTCCCTGGAACCTGCATAGCGGGGTCTTTCTTCCACAGACAGGAGGAAGCTGTCTGGAGCTTCTTGGGATCAGCAACTGTGGACTTGTCAGTAGCAAATGAGTTTTTATTTTAAAAGGTAACTATTATTGGGGGGAATGACCAAAATCTACCTGTCATCCTTGCCCTGGAGACATCCTGAACTGACATATACCTGGGCTTGGGGGAAGGGAATAAATTAGAAGCAGCGGGGACACCTGGCTGGCTGAGCCGGTGAAGTGGCTGCCTTTCAGCTTTGGGTCATGATCCCAGGGTCCTGGGATCGAGTCCTGCATTGGGCTCCTTGCTCAGCTGGGAACCTGCTTCTCTCTCTGCCTGCCTCTCCCCCTGCTTGGGCACGCATGCTCTCTCTGGCAAATAAATAAGTGAAACCTTAAAAAAAAAAAAATAGCAATGAGGGTGAGGGGCCTGGAGACGTGGATTCTAATTTCACTACTACTTTTGACAAGTCATTTCATTATTTCATCACTCCAGTTTCCTCATTTAGAGAACAGGGTAATAAGACCTTCTCTAATTTACAGATTTTTTTTTTTTTTTTTTTTGAGGGGGAGAACAAAGAGAAGAAAGGGAAGAAGGACAAAGATACCAAAAGCTCCTGAAAGGACTTTGATAAGCCGAAAATAAACACATGAGCGCCGCTGGTTAGTGACGCATCTGTTACAGGTTGAATTGTGTTTCCCCCAAATACATGTTGAGTCATAAGCCCCAGTCCCTCATTTGGAAAGAGGGTCTTGGAAGATGCAGTTAGTTAAGTTGAGATGAGCTTGTACTAGAGTAGGGAGGCCCTTAGCCAATACAGCTGTGTCCTTAGAAGAGAAGAGACACAAATACAGACGTACAGGGGACCACCGGGCAGAGACTGAAGTGTCGCCGCTGTAAGACAAGGAACGCGAAGGACTGTCAGCCGTCTCAGGAAGCTTGGGAGAGGCAAGAAAGATTCTCCCCTATGGGTTTCAGAGAGATAATGGCCCTGTTGAGCCCTTGATCTTGGGTTTCTAGCTCCGGGAGCTTGTGAGCTGGTCTATTCCTGTAGCTTTAAGCCACCCCATTGTGGCACTGTTCATGGAAGCCCCAGGGAACTGAATACACATCCTTTAACGGATTCCCAAGGTGCAGCAAAGCTTGGCCAAAGCTCTTGACCTACCACTGAGAGGTTTGTGACCTAGGATCAGACATGGGACACGGGACAAGGACCCGAGTTTCAGGGGTGACAGCATGGATATGAGGGTCACGAAGAGCAAAGGTCAGGTTTGGGAAGCCCACGGGGCTACGCTGGAGCCGAACCAGCAGAGTTTAGTCCACACGGACGGAAAGCATCACTTCTGCCTGGAGAGACAGCGCGCTCAGAGCTGAACTGGCTCTCAGCAGCCTCGGGCCTGCTCTTACTTCCTGCGGGCACAGAGCCAGCACCGCCCTCATGCCCCAGGCCTCCTGCACTCAGGCCCCGGGTCCGCAGGGACATGAAGGCACATGCAATCCATCAGGGGAGCCCGCTGCGCGGAGATCGCGTTTAGGGAGGGAGCCTGCTGGGATGCTATGTGCCGGTGACCTCCCACACGGCTCTTGGGTGCTTGTTTTAGAGGCGTCATAAAGCTTTTTTGCTCTAGGCCCTTCTGCCCTGTGTGAGATTTGCCCATGCTGAGTGTGGGTCTGGTCTCTGGGTGATGAGTGTTTACACATACACACTGTAGCTGTTGGATCCTCACAATAACCCATGAGGTGGTTACTGTTAACAGGCCCATTTTACAGATGAAGGAACTCAGGGGCAGAGCTCCCACGACTGGTATCGAGAAGCCAGCCCAGGCCTGTACGACTCTGGAGACTGTGATGCTGATTGCTCTAGTATATTCCTTTGATAGTTTATTTGGATCAGGCTGTTCTGAATTAACTCTGGAAGTAATAATTTAGTAAAAAAAAAAAAAAGAATGAACAAAACCAAAAAAGTGTGTGTGTGTATGTGTGAAGCTGGGATCACCATGACTTCATACTTAAAGGGGGAGGGGAGCTAACATGATGAACTAAGTCCTTCCATCCAGGAAAACCCATAGCTCTGGGAGGTGGGCATCTCAGAGACATGAAGTCACTAGCCAAGGTCACCAGATTGATCCGGGCAGGGCACAAATGTGAATCCAGGTTCAAGTTCAAATGCAAACCTGCTGTGTCTTCCATGACCTCTGTGCCAAAAGTGACAGCTGGGATCTGTCCTACCGATCGTAGAATAACTCACTTAGTGCCTGGCACAAAATAGTTATGCGATTGGGTTGAATTAAACCCAAATGAATCTAATGTTCATTAAGAGAGGATCTGATCAATAAAAGACACCGTGCAGATGTTCCAAGATATCCCAAGAGCTGACTGTGCTGATGTGGAATCTGTTACGTCAGCAGTTTAGAGACAAGAGTGTGTAGCATCACCCCCCCATTTTTCCCCCCAAATTTTTGTTTATTCATTTGAGGGAGAGGGAGCACATGAAAGGGAGAGCACGAGCAGGGGAAGCGGCAGTGGGAGAGGCAAGAGCAAACTCCTCAATGAGCAGAGAGCCCAATGCGGGACTCCATCCCAGGACCCTGGAATCATGACCTGAGCTGAAGACAGATACTTAACTGACTACGTCACACTGGCACCCCTATGATTCCTTTTTTTGCAGGAAAAAAATAATTCCTTACCTATGGCTATTTCTGTGTATACAAAGTCTGCATAAAACAACTTCAAATTAATAATAATGCTTATCTTTGGGGGTTAGGATCATTGAGGACTTTCACTTACTTTTTAATAAGAAAATCCTTGAAGATACTTGCATTTTGCAAAAAGCAAGAGCAAAAGGAAGGAAAAGAAAGTCATGTTGTTCCTGGTGACAATAGATCCCTCCAGAATAGATCCCACCATCCCACCGGGATGCAACTTGGACCTGGATTTACCATGTCAGCTCCCTCAGGATGGGCCCTGTGGCCCCATAGGAGAAAAGGGTTCATTCAGAGCCCCTCTCTCCCCGTACTCTCTCCTTGCGCATTCTGAAATATTTTCATTTACAACAAACTTAAGAGCACACAACCAGGAACCAGGATTCCTTGGGAATCCTGGAACATCTTTTCATATTGGGGTCAAGTCAAAAGTTCACAGAAACTACCTTGAAGGGGCACCTTCTGGCTAAATGTGGGGTGCTTTGAATATTGAAAAGACTACAGTAAATTGAAACACACTTACTTTTCTGAAAGCTGGTAAATAAAGGGAAAAAGCCAAGTAAGCTTGCCTTTCCTGTATGAACTATACCTAATAGTAAGCAAATAGTTGATGAACACATTTTTTTTTTTAACAGAACAACTCTGGCAAAAAACAAACAAACAAACAAACAAACAAACAAACAAAAACCCAAAAAACCCAGGAGAAAAAAATAGAATTAGGAAAAAAATCTCTTGTTTTGCAGCCCTAATGACAGCATGGATCTCGGCAGTGATAATTAGTGGTTGCTGAAATCTTTGGGTGAAATGCTGAAGGAAATTGGTCGAAGGAAATTGGTCCTGGATGGATGAGTGAGCCCAAGAGCTCCCGAACCCACTCATCAGTCCTAACCTTGCGAGTAAAGAGGCTCCAGGCATGAACTGCCTCCTGATGGGCTGCTAGGAAATGTGCCCAGCACCGTGGATGAAATATTATTGCCACAACACCAGGCTCTAGAGCTCACTGCCATTTTGTAGGCAAGATGGACTCAGAGAACCACATCGCCGGACATCTCAGGCTTTCAACCTGCAAAATTCAGAATGCAGTCGACTAGAGACAGTTCAAACTTGAATTTTACTTGCATCCCGATACACACAAGTCACCAATAAACATCACCCAATGTTTTCCAGACAATGGGGAACATCTGAACACCGATTGCCTATTTAAGAGTATTACAAGGATTTATGGATAAATCTTGGATGGGAGGATTTATGATGGGATGCCAGGAATTTGCTTCAGGATAATGCAGGCAGGTGGGCTGGGGAAAGGAGGGGTGGCAGGTACTGATAAAACAGGCCTGTCCACGTGCAGGTCATCTCTGTGTATAATCTCTGCTTGTGTACATGTCTGGAGATTTCCAAAAGGAAATGTTAGCAACAATAAAAAGTATGGGCATACAACTTAATGTTTCTATCATGATGGTGGTGGAGGTGGGTGCACGCGGGTGTGTGTGTGTGTGTATGTTCATATGCTCTTTGTGGACCTAATTCAAGTTTCAGCTCTAGAACTGTAGCTTCCTGAAAATGACTTTTTGACCACTGTGAAGGGTGCCCCAACCTAACGGGCGTAGCTGGATTTCCAAGGGGTGTCGGGCAGGCAGGCACAGACAAAAGGCTGTGATTTAGGGGACTGCCGGGGCCAGCCCAACGCGGTTATTCCCACGATCAAAGACTGAGTAAAACTGCCGAATGAAGACATCTCCCAGGATCCAGAGGGGCCCAGCGGGAGGCTGGATGTCAAGCCCTTGAAAGCCACTGCTGCAGAACTCCATTCCATCCACAAAGTCCTGGGGTGGGAAAGAAGGTGTAAGTGACGTAGAGGGAGAAAAGGGAAGTACGAGGGCTGTACTGTGTGGTAGTGGTGGTGACTATACCAAATGGCCTTGGACAGTCATAGTGTTGGCTCGTTTTGATCTTCTTCCCGCTCTACACCCCTCCACTTGTTTGTTCAGCAAAGTGTGTGCATAGTCTTGTATATGTGGATCTGGGCTCCTAAGTTCTACAATTCTGAGAATTGTTCACCTCTCATACATGCCCCCTCCCTCCCACTTTACAACTGGAAAAAGTGAAACCTTGTTGCATGACTGCAAGAGCAAAAGGGATGGCTTTAAAAGGTCTTGGCTTAAATTCTGGTTTCTTTAGTTTCTAGTGAAGCCCAACTTCGTTTTTTAAGGAGAGAAATTACACAGCTGTTTTCTTGATGTTCTGGGGAAGAACAAGGCAGGTAGACATCCAGTGTCCTGTGGAAAGAGTGTTACTTCCCCCAAATTTACTTTTCAGTTTGGCGAAGACTTGGGGTCTACTAGGCAGGTGTGGTCTTTCCAACAACTGTTTGAGATTTGAGGTTGCTGATGAGTGTCTGGGAAGTTTACAGAGGGCTTAACGCGCCTTCTGGAGAGGAAGGGGATGACCACGAAATGCTGTTACAGGATCCTTGGCTGACTGAGGGGGCTCTGATTGAAATCTGCTGGCAGGAAAGGACAAGGGCACCACTCTGGGCAATGGGAAGGAAGTGCGGTGGGCAGGGACTCACATAGGGTGCAGGTGGGAGAGTATGGGGGTAATGGGGGGGCCAGTGGATATATAGGCTGATGAGCTTGGCACAACTAGCGTCTAGCTTGTCCCCAGTGTGGTGTTCATAGTGGCATCTCCAGAATCCCTTTGTCGGAGAAGCTTAGGGAGTTTGACATGAAGCTGTGTTTTAAAGCAAAAATTTGTTTTCTTAGTATGCAATTGCTGGATCATAGGGTAGTCCTATCTGAGGACCCTCCATACTGTTTTCTAGAGTGGCTGCACCAGTTTGCAATCCCATCATCAGGGCAAGAGTGTTCCCTTTTCTCCACATCCTCTCCAATACCTGTTGTTTCTTGCCTTGTTGATTTTAGCCACTCTGGTATGTGTGAGGTAACATCTCATTGTAGTTTTGATTTGCATTTCCCTGATGATCCGTGATGTTGAGCATCTTTTCATGTGTCTGTTGGCCAGCTGGACGTCTTCTTTGAAGAAATGTCTACTTGTGCCTCTTGCCCATTTTTATTTGAATTATTTGGTTTTTGGGTGTTGAGTTTTATAAGTTCTTTATGTATTTTGGATACTAACCCTTTATTGGATACATCATTTGCAAATATTTTCTCCCATTCTGTAGACTGCCTTTTAGTTTTATTGATTGTTTCCTTCACCATGCAGAAAATTTTTACATTGATGAGTTTCCAATAGTTTATTTTTGGGTTTTTTTTTCCCCCTTTGCCTCAGGAGACGTATCTAGAAAGAAGTTGCTGTGGCCAGTGTTAAAGAGGTTATTGTCTGTGTTCTCTTCTAGGATTTTTATGCAACTGCACTACTAAGTATTTATCCAAAGCATACAAAAATACTAATTCAAAGAGATACATGCCCCCCGATGTTTACAGCAGCATTTTCCACAATAGACAATAGCCAAGTTGCAGAAATAGCCCAAGTGTCCACAGACTGATGAATGGATAAAGAAAATGTGGGATATATATATATATATAATATATATATATATACATATATATATAGATGAATATTACTCAGTCATAAAAAGAATGATGTCTTGCCATTTGCGATGTTGTGGATGGAGCTAGAGGGTATAGTGCCAAGCGAAGCCAGTCAGAGAAAGACAATTATGATATGATCACATTCACTTGTGGAATTTAAGAAAGAAAACAAATGAGCAAAGAGGAAAGGAGAGAGAGAGAGGTGAACTAAGAAACAGACTCTTAACTACGGAGAACAAACTGATGGTTACCAGAGGGGAGTTGGGTGGGGGGGATGGGTGAGCCAGGTGATGAGGATGAAGGCGGGCACTTGTGTTGACTACTGGGTGGTATGGAAATGGTGAGCCGCCATATTGTACGCCTGGAACTAATATTGCCCTGTATGTCAACTAACTGGCATTTAAATAAAAACTTTAAAAGAACATTTGTTTTCACTTGCACTGTTTATGCTTGGCGGCTTGGGGAAGGGGTTAATGGAGATCAAGGTGTGGCGGGGTAGTTAAGTCCTTAAAGTCCTCTACACCTTAGTACCTCCATTCTGATGCAATCACCCTGGGGCTGTGGGTGACTCTCCAGTAAAGTCAGCCTGTTGAGTGTCACCAAAGGACCGCATGTGAAATTGAAAATCTGGGCCAACTGTGGTGTGAAGCCATTACAGTTTTCCCCCAGGAATTCCCTTTCTGGGGAATTCTACCTCACCTTACAAACTTAGGAATCTACTGCAATGAAAAACACTTTCTTGTCTGAGGAGAATGTTCATCTGAACGCGATTACAACCTCATTCTGTCCCTCCTTCCCAAGTAGCTCGTATCTTGAGCCTCCTAACTTTCTGGGATTCGATATCCTCATCCACAGAATGGGATAATAATATCCAATCCTACTGGGTGTTTGAGGGACTAAACTTTTGTCCGTTGTAAAGTCTACAATCCTGTCAGAAAACGTCACTAAATGACTTGTCCAAGGTTTGCTCCTGCTTTGTGGCAGGACGGGAACTGAGAGAGAACCAGCCTGGCCATCACCTTTCCACCACAGACAGCTCTGTCCTTTCTGGAGGGAACGCCCCTTCAGTGCAGGAGAAGATGGGAGGGGGGCTCGGCGATGCAGCCTGAGTGCAGGCGACTGAAAAGAGGAAGTGGTGGGCTGGTGGGGGAGGCCTTATGACTTGCAGAATGAGGAAACAGTTCTTACCAGCAGGGTATAGGCGGTTGGTTGGAGGGTGTAGGAGACGCCACTGATGGTGAAGGTGACATCCGGCATGACGTTGAGGTTGGCACACTCCACCCCATACTAAAACACAACACAGAGGATCCATTTAGAGGCCTTCCCCCTCTCCCGCTCCCGCCTCTTCCCTACCCAGCAGGCACAGACTTCTCCATCCATGGGTTCTGCCCCAATGGCCTTCTGCAGCTGCTTGATTTTGTCTGAGGGGCCTGTGATGAGGGAAGTCCCCGTGTCCACGATGGCCTGGCAGCCTTCAGAGCAGAACATCACCGTACCTCCCACCTGGATTCTGAGGACAAAAGAAATGTCATCAGCCAACCCCTCACCCCGTCTCCACCCCATCAGTCCCCCTTCCCCTTGGCCCTGGAGTTCCCCAGGCTCCCCAGCGGCTCTCACCCTCTGCCGGGCTCTCAAACATACAGTAATGATACCCAGTCTGATGGTCTCACCCATCAATATTTGTCAGTTTTTCTGTGACTGAGATCATTTATACATTTACTTTCAGACCCCGTACACATACACACACACACAATATGAAAATTTCACGAAATAGGGCTTAACCTTAGTATGTGAAGTGCACTCTGATATCTTCTATTTTATTCCATCTCATTAAAAATGTACGTCATGATGCCCTAAAATGAGACCATGACCCATAAGTGGGTTAGCCCCGCTGGCTTGAAAAACCCTCAGCAGACAGTGAGCCCTGAGGCTTTCCGCTGTTCTGTCCCTCGTGGCTAGCACAGGCTCTCACCTCACAGAAATGTGTCCTTGGCAGAATTGAACCGTGAATTATATTGCTTTAAATTCCTGCATTATCTGACACAGGGCTTGGTATGTGACGGGCATCTGGTCCCACGTCCCTGATTGCTCCATGCCGCCCCCCACCCACACACAATGTCTGCATGTATGTAGGTCAAGGTCCAGCCCGGGTCACCTCCTCCGGGAAACCCCTGCTTGAGAAGAATAGGAGCTGTCCCGCCCCGTCTGCTGGGCCACTTTGGTGGTCTTTCAGACCACTGACCACCGTCTATTTCACAATGGTAGTGGGGCGTGTGTGTGTGTGTGTATGATCTTCCAGACATACATCGTGGAGGCGAAATCTGAGTCCGGTTCACTCCTGCACCCCGTGTCACCCACCCCTGGTCCTGTGTATGAATTAATGTGAAATAAGCCTCAGGTAATTGGCGGAGGGTTTGTATCTATTGTGTTGACTTGAGGGTGCAGCATGTGGACCAGAAGGGAAGCTGAGACGTGGTACTGCATGCCTATTGCCCTGGCAACCGCGACCCCCTCCTGCACCTCCACATTTCCAGCCTCACGCGGCGAGCGCCCCACCCCCCAGCTCCTCTCCTGGGGACCAGCACGCTGATTCAGGTCAACTCACTGAACCCGATTTGCCTTGTGCCTGTCTTGAGTTCTTGCCTCATACCGTAACTACGTTGGGGAGAATACTCACGCATCCAGGGCAATCTGCCAGTAGCCTTGCTTGGTGACAGGGACCCAGTTCAGATTCCCAGAAAAATGGGAGTGGTCATAGCCTCCGAAAATGAGTTCGCTCCCCGCACCACCTTCTGGGTCACTACACGGAAAGAAAGGCAGATCATCGGGGAAGGACCGCTGGGATATCGTAGGAACAAGCTGGTCGCCTACCTCAAGCATCTAGACAAGCAGAAATATCAGCCCGGGCTTTGAGATCAGGGCTCCTGATTACTGCAAGTTGATTAATCTGGGCCTTTTTGAGCAAAAGGATGGAAGTATAGAAATAGCTCTGCCTGATCGTTTGTGAACGTCTTCACGCTTTTTTGATAAAAGAGCAAGGGAGGAAGTAGATGGGGACAGCTGCTCAGTCATGCAGAATCGAGGCTAGGACCCCTGGGGTGTGCACACACCACGTGACTTATGTGCCGCTCCCCCCAAAAGCCTTTTCCCCTAAGTATCTTCCCCACTCTTGTTTTGATGGTGCCTGGAGTTTCTGTATGACTCATCCCAGAGTCCCAAGGTAAGGAAGCCTTAATGGGAATGCAACATGACTTACTAGAACTGGAAAATTTATTTACTTTCCTTGGTGCTGCTTTTTCAGACTATAATCTGGCACCTAACAGGATTCTGGGAAAATAGGACATGAAACTGATTCATTTTTAGGAGGAAAAGGTTCCGAAAAATACAAAACTCAGGGCGCTGCGAGGCTCCGTGGTAAAGGGTAAAGGAACCAGGTATTGCAGGCATCATAGGAAAGCAGATTTAGGGAGATGCGGGTAAGGACTCCCGTTTGTTGGCGGCCTTTGTGCCGGGCCCTGGGTGGAGAATTTTACCTGCTTCATCCTATTTATTTCGTACATCAACCTCGTGTCCATCTGAGGAACCTGAGACTCGGGGCTTCAGTCCAGGTCAGCCAGACTGCAAAGGCTTTGCTCTTTCCCATCCTCCCCCATCTTTCCCGGATGGAAGGGAGCAGGAAACTGCAGGGGGGTGGCAGAGGGGTCTGGGCAAGCTGCCCTCTTGCTCCCAGGTCTGCCCGGGCTGGGCCCAACTTCAGCCATGCAGTTTAATAAAGGAAATTCAAGACTCTCCGCGTGGAAGTGGAGAACAAGGGACAGGGGCTTATGAGAAAACAGGGTGAGCTGAGGCCAGATCACACAGGGGAGGAGTCGGAAAGGTCAGAAATCTCGGTCCTACGTAGGGATGAAGGTGAGATGATCCTTTCAGGATCCCAGGCAGGAGTGGCCACAATCCTTTAATGAACTTCTCATTAAACAGCAACTTCCTATTCCTCCTCCCCCCACACCTGGCAACCACCATTCTCCTGTCTCTGTGAATGTGAGACTCCGGATAGCCTCCTGTAAGTGAAATCAAGCGGTATTTGTCCTCTTGTGACTGGCTCGTTTCACTTACGGTCCTCACGGTTCATCCTCTGGTAGCTTGTGGTAGAATTTCCTTCCTTTTTCAGGCTGAATAATAGTCTATATTAAATAAATTCTGCATCTTATTATGCCCTTAACAACACATTATTTTATCATCAGCTTCCTTTTGAATTTTTTCTGCCTCCTCCCATCGGAAACCAGCTTCCCGAGGGCAGGGACTGGCTTCCTGGTCTCACGGTGCTCCCGCTGCCTGGCACCGTGGTCGGCACGTAATAGGGACTTGATAAATACTTATTCACTGCACAAACGAAGAGCCAACCCCAGAGATTCCTCCCACTGGCTCAGTGCACTACAGTCTACAAAGTAAGGCAAGCCCCGTTTCTTCAATGCCCAGAGAGGGTAAGCCCAAGGTCATGCAGCTGGTACTAGGTGAAGCAAGGGACCCATGCCAGGTGTCTGACTGCTAAGGCTGATGCTCCCGTGGCTGCACCATGTTATCAACCTGGGGTTGTCACTGACCTTCACCTTGGTGGGCTTGACGGGCCTACCTGCTCATGTACACGGAAAACATGGGTATATCCACCAGGTTCTGCGCCATCATGTTGTCGAACACTGGGGTCACCCCTCCCACAGCCAAGGAGGGGTAGCCCAGGCCCAGAATGCCATCAAACTCTGCGTTCACAAAGGTCTGGCCGGGCTCCGTGACACTCTCTCCAAATTGCTGGTCGACCACCACCAGTCCTTCCACCTGACGGGAGAGCGCCCGAAAGAAAACTGCACGGGACGTCTCTGGCACAGAGTCTCAGATTCCCGGATTCTCCCTCTGGTCTGAAGCGAATTCTTCCCCCACCCAGCTTCCCTGATTACATGAACCCAGTGGTTTCACCACGTTCCCACACCCTCAATGTTCTTTATGTAAACTTTCTTTTTTTTTAAATTGAAGTTTAGGGGCACCTGGGTGCCTCAGTGGGTTAAGCCTCTGCCTGCGGCTCGGGCCGTGATCTCAGGGTCCTGGGATCGAGCCCCGCATCGGGCTCTCTGCTCAGTGGGGAGTCTGCGTCCCCCCACTCTCTGCCTCTCTCTGTGTACTTGTGATCTCAATCTCTCAAGTAAATAAAATCTTTTTTTAAAAAATGGAAGTTTAATGCAGAAATCCTAAGTGTACAGTTCGGTGAGTTTTCACAAACCTGCCCTGGTCAGCGAGCTCCCAGACCAGAAGCCGCTTCAGGCACGCTGCTAATTGGTTGTACTTTTCCTCAAAAACACCCGTCTGCTGGCTTCCAGGTACTATGTTGTAATCTCGTTCACTGTCAGTATCCCATGGTGGGAATACACTGTCATTATCCATTCTACCACTGCTGGGAATTTGGGTTGTTTCCTGTCTAGACTATGGCTAACAGTGCTGCCTGGACATGTCCTCTGGTGGACACGCACGCAGACCTCTGTTGGACATATCCATGCCTAGAGGTAAAAAAAACATCTACAGTGTATTGGAAGTTTGATAACGTGTGAGGTCAGAGTCAAGATTTTTTTTTAACTTTAATTTTAGTTTAATTTAACTATGTGGCTATCCAAAGGACCTTGCACGTATTTAATAAATACATTCTTATTTCCTCCCCTGCAGCTTTCATGGTCAACAGAATTCAGAGTAGTTTCTGAATTTTCCATCTTGTTCCTTTTGTCCATTGGCTTATCTTGTGCCAATACCACACTGCCTCAATTACTACAGCTTTAAAGTAGGCCTTGATATTTGTAGTGTTTGTTCTCCTTCATCTAGATTGTCTTGGTGTATTACGTATCCACATACATTTTAGAATTAGCTCATCAATTTCTAGTAAAAATCGCTATTGTTCTGACTGAGGTGACATTAAACATATAGGTGGATTTGAAAATATTTGACTTGTCTATAATACTGGGTCATGAAATACTGAGTCATTTTCAATTTATGTAGGCCTTCCTTAATTTCACTCACTAATGTTTTGCAGTTTTTAGAGTGAAGATCTTGCACATTTTTTTTGTTAAGTTTACTTGTAGGTATTTGATGTTTCTGATGTAATCACAAATGTCTCTGAAATCTATTTTCCATTTGTTTTTCCTGATATTCAGAAATAGAAATGATTTTGTTAATCTAGTATTCAGCAATTTTGCTAAATAATTATTAAACCCAAAGGGTCTGTACATATTTTTGGACTTTTTACATATAGCATCTTGTCATATGTGAATAATGACAATATAGTTTCTTCCTTTACAATCTTAATGCCCCTAGTTTCTGTTTTCTTGCCTTACTGCACTGAGAGCATCTTTGACTCATTCTTCTTTTCTTCTTCTCCTTCTTCATTCTTCTCTCTCTTTCTTCCCTCTAATTCCTTCCTCTCCTTCCTTCCTCTCCTTCCTCCTTCTTGCCTTAACTCATTCCCTGTGCACCGTTTCTCTGTGGAATTCGTCCGTGCTGCCACTCTAGAACCCAGCACCCTGAGCAGACTGGCCCGCTGCCATGATCTCAAGCAGGAAGGGCTACTCCTGCCTGGCCGGGCTTCTCCCTTTCCCTGGAAGCCAGTTCCTTGTTTCCACCTCTTCCTGAGGCTGATCTGAATGTGTTCCCCTAATGGCTCTGAAGAATATTCTGTTTCCCAAGCTTCTGTACAAAAGAGAAGAGATGAAGGAATTGTACTCACATTGACTCGGTCAGCTCCGAGGATTCCAGACAAGCTCCCGGTCCCATACTGAATGGAGAAATGACTCCCCAGTGTGCTGTACGTGCTGGACTGGGAAGGGTAGAACCTGGTGTGTGTCTCTGGGAAAGCAAGGATGCTGCTGTTGCCTGGGCTGCCAGCTCACTCCCTTCTTCCTGCCCTGATACCCCACAGATGCAAGCTCTCTTCCCTCAACTCCCAAGATGGAGTGGAGGCCTCTAGAAAGGCTGGCTATGGCCCACCTTAGTGAGTTACTTGTAGGCCACATGTGGTGGCCTAATCAGGGACCAACTAGTCATCTCTGGGCAAACATGACCACCCACAGTGACCTCATAAGGCACACCAAGGTAAGTGTCCTGTATCAGATGCCAGCAGAAGTCTCTTTCGACTAGTGTGGTTCCAAGCCTGGCATTCAAAAGAAACCCAGGGGTAAACAAACCCCATTCCAGGCAACGACTCTCAACTCCTTGCTTAGCCCGCAGACACCTAATCCTGAGGTTTTCCGAGACATCGTGTCTCTAGAACTTACCCAGAACAGACTCGGGCATCTCTTTTTAGCTCTACCCTTTGCTAACAAAGATGCCTGAGTTACCTCTGGGGCAATGAACCCACCCCTATATTGTGCCCCATCAGTCGCACCTCCGATATCCTGGGATGGGCCACCAAACCCTCTTGAAGCAGGTGAATAGGCAGCCTTGGAACCCAGCCCACCTACCCGCCCAGAAACAGCCATTTGAATGGAACTCTCCCTACCCCTAACATTGTTTTGGGTGTTCCAAAGAGAGTGAGTCATTGTGTGTTCAAAGATTTGAACTGAGTTTGTATTTTCAGTGGCTGAGTTTTCTCCTATTAATTCTGGTCTGTATGAAAGTTGCTAGCTTGGCTAGCAGTCAAATTTTAGCTCTCTCCCTGGCCCAGCACTGTTTCTACCATAGGCACTCCCAGGGCAGACTCGAGGTGGAGAGGGGAAGGTGGTGTGCCATGCACCAGTTTCTGGAAGTCAAGGTGCCCTCCCCCAGAGTGCCAGACCCCAGCTGCCATTCCGTGCTTACTGCAGGGCCCCACTTACTGCAGGCTGGGCTGGTGCAGTACACAGAGGGGACCCAGAGGTTGGAGGAGCCAGTGTCGAAGATGACTGTGAAGTTTTGCGGTGGAGAGCCCACGGAGATGGTGCCGAAGTATTCCATCTACACGGGAGGGAGGGAAGGGAGCAGAGGGTGGGGGGTGGGAAAGGGGAAGGTGCTCACCAGGGAGCCTTGGGAGAGCTTTCTGGGACCAAAGCCTGGGTTAGCGTGGACTGGAGCTTACAGAGCCTGGGGAGTGGCAACAGAAGGTAGAAAGAGCAGACACAGGGGAAATCAAGTCTCCTGTACTTCTTTAGCTCTCATTTGCTTTACTTCTCTTAATTGCTTTGTGAGCAAGACAGAGGACTTGTAATGCCTTTGTTCTACAATCAGGGAGCGAAAGCTTGTGAAAGTTAAATCATTTGGCCAAGGACACAGAGCAGGACCCTTCTGTTTGGGAGACCTTTTCTTCTGCAGAGAGCTCTGCCCATTTGGATGCATGGGGGCTTACTCGGTCATGTCCACGGGGACCCAGGGGATCGGTCCCTATGGGTTATCCTAGAAGAGAAATCCTCCCTGGCCTTCAGTGTCGCTGACCGACACTGGCCATGCCCAGAGGCCAAGCCATCCTCCCCTCTCCCCCTTCCCAACCCCCTGCCCCAGGAGTGCCTCACATCCAAGTAGTTGATGAGGGGCTCGCTGGCATCCTGGTTCATCGTGCAGGACTCAGTGAACTGGATCATATCCAAATTCTGGGATTTCCAGAACTCAGAGAGCTGGCCCCGTGCCCGCAGCTTCTTCCGGAGGGACTGTCGCCTCCTGAGGGGCACCCTGAGGACAGAGCCCGTGTGAGACACAGGTGCAGCTCTGCCTCAGACCCTCCCCTCTCCCCACCCCATTCTTCCAGAGGTAAACTGGGAAATTACACAGGAGGAGATCTGCAAGGCAGCAGAGTTGCCAGAATTGGCCACAGTTTGGCCAGAATTCGTGCCCTCTCTGCCCCCGGCCTATTAGTCTTGTCTCTGCTCCTTAAGAGTCCTAGAACCGGGGCGCCTGGGTGGCTCAGTGGGTTAGGCCTCTGCCTTCGGCTCAGGTCATGATCCCAGGGTCCTAGGATCGAGCCCCGCATCGGGCTCTCTGCTCAGCGGGGAGCCTGCTTCCTCCTCTCTCTCTGCCTGCCTTTCTGCCTACTTGTGATCTCTGTCAGATAAATAAATAAAATCTTTAAAAAAAAAAAGAGTCTTAGAACCTTAGACTTGAAGTGGCCCTCCCTCTCAGAGATGAGCTCTTTGAGGTCATCTAGGAAAATGGTCCGCAGTTGTGTGTGAACCTCATAAAGGATTGATTTAAAGGGAGAGAAAGACTCCTGGGGGCAGCCACAGTCATTCCCTCGGGGACATGCTCGGTCCTCCGAGCCCCCAACCACAGCTGCAGGCTCCCGTTTTCCACTAGTGTGAGAAGCTCCCTTGGGCTTGGCCAGGGAGTTCTGTCAGAGGTCGGGGCAGAGGGATGGTTTGTCATGGGCTGGAGGTCAAGGCCAACACAAGAAGGCCGCTTTCCCCAGCCCTTCGTTCTCCTCTTTATTTCCCCGTCAGCTTTCCTCTCCCAGGGCAGCCCTAAGCTCGAGGGCAGGCAGCGGTGCCCGCTGGATGGGGTCTGAGGACAGGGTGCTGGGGACGTGGCCTCACCTGTGGAGCCGCTGTTGAGCCAGCCCCAAGTCCAAGAGCACCAGCAGCAAAAGAACGAGTGTCTTCCTCATGGGCCCTGCCGGCAGCTTCTTCCTTGCTCTGCTGCAGCCTTCCCTGGTCCCTCTCCTTTCCTCTCTCCCGCAAGCCAGCGGGGACGAATCACCCCAACTCTCGGATCTGATCTGCCCTGCCCAGCCCAGCCTGAGGACCCAATGATAAGGCCTCTTGCGTCAATGGCCAGGCCCAGAACAAACAGAGCGAGCATGACCGGGCGTTTCCCTTCCTCCCCTCAGCCCCCCTTTCCCTCCTGCAGGGGCAGGTGCGCGGGCTTCGTGGGTCTGGGGTGGGGCTTGAGGGTCTGCGCACCCTCTAAGAGAAGGACGGCGGCGCAAGTTCAACTTCTCCCAGAAGTTTGGGTGCTCTCTCCTGGCCCCTAGAAACCCTGTGATTATGACTTGAGAGAGCTCTGTGCCCGGACACCGGGTCCCCTCCGCTCACGTGTCACCACGAGTGGTCTGGCTGAGGACTCCTGTGGGGTTGGAAGCGCGGTCGTCACCTGTGGGACAGGTTCTAACTCAAGAATACCATCAATCAGGTTGTTTTCCCTCGTCTCTCCGAATTCCCTCAGGAGCCTCAAGGGCAGTTGACCCCCACCTCCGTCCACTCTGAGGCAGAGACTAGTGCTCCTTAAAGCCCCTGACGTGGGAGACTGGGCTGTGAAGCTAGTTTTTTGCATCTCAAAGACTTGATGAATGTGGGACTGCGTTGTGGAGGGAGGTTTGGAGAACACAGAGGCAGCCCTGGGCTGGGGGTGGGGGTGGGGAGGTACAGCTCATGGTGGGGTGGGTGGGGGGGGAATGATTCTCGAGCGGGTGCCTGTATTCGTTTGCTAGGGCTGCCATAACGCCTTACCACAGATTGGGTGGCTTAACAGAAAGTTATTTTCTTGGGATTCTGGAAGCTAGAAGTCCAAGATAAAGGTACGGACAGGATTTGGTTTTTCCTGAGGCCTCTTTGCTTGACTTGTAGGGATGGCTGCCTTCCCTCTTCCTCTGAGTGTGTCCGCGTCTTGATCTCCTGTCCTTATACGTCATGTTGGACTGGGGCCCACCGTAAAGACCCCATTCCAACCTAATTACTCTTCGGAGGCCTGATATCTCCATACAGTCACATTCCGAGGTACTGGAGGTTAAGACCTCAACATAAGAGTTTTGGGGGCTACAATTCAGTGCGTAACAGTGTCCAGAGACAGCAGGAGCCTCAGTCTGTTCCTGGAGTAGGGGGCAGTGGGGGCTCAGCATGATTAGCTATTGCTATCCCAGCCTGATTAGCTACTGCTAGGAACCCATCTTTATGGCCATTCCACTTCCTAAACAGAGGGAGGGCTTTATCGCCTTGAGTGAGGATGGAGGATGGTGGGGAGGAGCACCCTCGCCTGACCAGGACCCAGATCCAGGTTTATGGGTCACTCTGAACCTGGGCCTCCGGAGTGAAGGCCGAGAACCAGGGTTGGGTCAGCTTTGCTCTGACAAGCCAGCGATCTCCACAGTGTTTTAGCTGCCACCACGGCTCTGCTTTCCATCTGAGGAGCCCCAGCCGCAGACAGACTTGGAGTTTGCAGCTAAGCAGAGTGCTGCCTTGGGCTCCAAAAATGTTCAGGAGGACATCAAAGGGACTTAGGGAACAGCCTGGACCCTTGAAGTGCTGACCCCAAAGGCACGAAGCCTCTGCAACATTTGCCCACTTGACAGTTGGCTTTGACCTTCACTGGGGACGGACGCCTACCTCCAGGAGGGCAGCCTGAGCCAGAAGAGGCTAGACGTTGAGATAAGCCACTGTGACATTTTGCTCTGTCATGGTTTGCCCATGATTGCCCGACCGCTACGTCCCTTAGATCTCTTAGCTGCCAAATGGCCTACATACATCGCTGAGTTTTAAGGAGGATTTAAAATACAAAATATGGCACATGGAAGCACTTGAAAAACTGTACTGTGTCACCCGACTGAAGATCTTCAGTATAAAATCCTTGCACTGGGAGACTTCTTCTTGCCATTAGGGCAAGGCCACTTACATAACAGATGAGGACACTGAGGCACAGAGAGGCAGAGTGACAGCCCCAGCTGCGCATGATCCCTTTAGTGGCAGGGCTAGGGTTGGGACCCAGGCGTCCTCCTTCCCAGTCCGAGGATCTTTCCACTATGGGTGGGGCCGCAGAATCTGGCTGGGTTTCAGAAAATTTGATGCGGGTTCGAGGCAGGAGGATGGAGACCTCTGTCAGAACGAATGGGTTTTGTTCTCTCTGGAAATGACAGAAAGCTCGCCTCCCCTGGTGGCAGATTAGGGGAGCCTCTCAGGCTGGAACTGCGGATGATTTGGGAACAAAAGCACTTGGGGGCTCATGGGTGACTCAGTTGGTTAAGCGTCTGATTCTTGATCTTGGCTCAGGGCTTGATCTCAGTCAGGGTCATGGGTTCAAGCCGTGTGTTGGGCTCCTGCTGGGTGTGGAGCATATTAAAAAAAAAAAAAAAGCCCTTGGATATGTGCCTGTTGTGGTGTCTGTGTGTATGTCCTTTAAGAAGAGAGAGGGAAAAGCTTTGGTACCATGTGGGCAAAAACAGACCATAGTATGGGCAATGATCGTGTCCTTCAGCCCTGGGAGAAGGTCTTTGGAAAGAGAGATCCTTAGGCATGTGGGTTGGAGGCTGGTCAGATGCAGAGCTTTTGTCTGTTTCCAGAACATTTGAAAGCTCTTGGTGTGACACCGTCCAATCAACTTCTCTTTTCTGGAGCTTCAGCTTCAGAAGATAAATAAGTAATAAGAGGACGGTTACTCAGCGCTCTGTGGAAATCCGCTTCATCAGGGCTCTGGAGACAGAGTGTGTCCGTGTAAGACACAAGCAGCTGCTTCTCCGTCGTGCTTGACTGGCTCCTGATGGAATCCGCTATGCTCGGGGCTCTGGCTCTGGCAACATGGCCCGCTCAGCACGAATGTGACCAACTAGAAAATGTCCCAACCTCATTTCTGCTCGAAGCTGATAAATGAAGGAAAGTCAACAATGCTTTGCGTGGTACAGTAGAAAAAGGGCTGGGCTGGGATGCCTGGGTCTAGTCTTGGCTCTGCCACTAACTGGCCATATGACCAAAATCACTTTTCTCTGAATCTAGTTTCCTTGTCTCTACCATGAAGAAGGTGGACAACAAGGAACATTTTGAGGACACAGACTAAGTGCCAGGCTCTGAGCTAAGGACCTTGGGAGCATTAGCACATTCTACGCCTATACCGACCCTAGCCAGTAGATACTATTTTAAAGCCCACTTTACAGATGAGATAACTGAAGCACAGAGAGTTTAAGCAACTTGCATAAGGTGCCGTAATCAGCATTCAAACCCAGGTTTGTCTGACTTCAAAGTTGATGATCTGTACTGGGTGATCTTGAGGGTCTGATGTTCGAGAATTTCTTCCTGTAAGAGAAAGACCAAGAGAGAGGCTGGGAGGGAGGAAGAGAGGGGGGAAAGGAGGAGAGAAAATAATTTTCTGCCTGATGGAAAATTTGACTTTTAACTGTAAGAAGAGAGAAGGGTGTGTGCAGGGTGGCGGGGGGTGGGTGGTGAGGCGCTGCGTAATGAGAAATTTTGTCATTGTTTCTTTTTGGCAAATATCTCCTATTTTGCTTTCAAGGAGCCTCTGAGCAAGGATCATTACTGTACTGCTGACAGGTGCAGAAATCCCCCCATACTCCCTCTGCTAGTTACCACTGACCCAGACAATGACTTCTGAAAACTAAAATTTAAGGTGATTTTTTGCTTGTTGCTGTAAGAGAGCTCCCAACACAAAGGTGTTCTTTCCCCAGTGGCTTCATCTGCTTTGGTTTGGCAAAGCCTCCTGTTTTCATGCAACTGGAAAAAAGAAGGATCGGATGTCTCCAGCATCTTGCCATGTCAAGAATTCAGTTCGTGTGAGTCATTTCCAAAACCACTGTCAACCCTATTCTGGGAAAGGGCCTCTCAGACCAGAAATGATTGCCATATGCCCTGCAGAGGACACAGGCACTGGGGCGTTTCTCGCTTGAACGCTGCCCGTGTGCGCATGTGCACTTGTCCCTATACCTGTGAACAGGAGGGACAGTTCCTGCCGCGGGCTTGGTGCAGGGCAGGACTGCATGCTGAAGGGGTCTGTTTCTCTGCTTGTTACCGAGCCCAGGCTTTGGAAGCAGACGATGCAGGATCTGGGGGATGTGTGGTATTGGCATTGCTCAGGGTCATCAGATTGCTCTGCGGTAGAAGAGGAAGGATTTCCTTGCAGACTGCTGTGAGGATTCTGTGGGACCATCCTCAGGAAGAAGGCTTTCCAGGTGTCTCTCAGCCCAGGGCTTGACACCCAGTTAGCACTTGGTGCTAGGGCCCTGGCTACACCATACGGACCAGGACAGGTGCTGGGCCTGGACTAGGACTCATTCTATGCCACCCACTGTGCGAAGTGCCTTAAAAATCCTCACTCGTGCAATTCTCCCAATAATCCCATGAGGTCCATAGTCCTGGAGAGGTAAAGGAATTTGTCCAAGGTCACACAGCTGGTAATGACAGACCTGAGCATAAACTCGAAGAGTCTCTCCATGAATCCACAATCTTTTACAGCTCTCACTGCCATCTGTAGCCTATATATAGGTTACTGTATGTATATATATATATATATATATATATATATATATATATTTAAAAGATTTTATTTATTTATTTGGCAGAGAGAGAGAGAGAGAGAGAGAGATCACAAGTAGGCAGAGAGGCAGGCAGAGAGAGAGGGGGAAGCAGGCTCCCTGCTGAGCAGAGAGCCCAATGTAGGGCTTGATCCCAGGACCCCAAGATGAGGACCTGAGCCGAAGGCAGAGGCTTAACCCACTGAACCACCCTGGCGCCCCAGGTTACTGTATGTATTAGCTCCTGAAATACGTTGCAGAGACCACCACCCTTTTGTGTCTTTTAACGTTTCACAAAAGCGATCAAGACTTCTGTTTGTCCTAGTTCTTCTTGTATGATCAGGGGCTCGACTATTTAAAGGCTGGGAAATGCAAAATAAATAAATAAAGGGTATGAAGTGAAATGCTCTCTGAC